GAAAGAGTCTGGTGGGTCACTTGTGTGTCTGTCCTTCTCAGATAAGTATTTCTCAGTCTTCCTGTGCATTAGTAAGCCAGACTGAATATAACTCACTTGAAATTTATTTTTCCTGATATAAACAAATACATTCTCACCTTTTCCCTGTAAGTTTTATGATCCTGATTTTACTGTTTTCTCTTTCTGAAATGGTTGTCACTGTCCCTTTGTGTTTGTATCTGGTAAAGTTTTGCTTAAAGGTGTCTGTGATAAATCATCTAGCAATGATGAAGTACCTCATGGAGTTTGTAGGTGTTTTACATTCCTGGGGATATTTTTGTGCATGTGACCTTAACTTGGTGCAAAGCAGACACATCGTTAGTAAGCACAGCTTTTTTTTGCTTCTGTCATGTTACCGAGAAGATTTGAGGAGGTCTAGGGTGATATGGTGGGACTTCCCTTAATCATCTTTCAAAAGGGCAGCCATTCTTTGGGCTCATCCAAAGACTTGCCCAAAAGTGATTTTTCTATTTCAATATCAGTTTTTGTGTTTGTCATCCCGCCCAGCTGTCTTCATTTCTGTGTGTGTGTATGCATGCTATGCTTTGAGAGCAGCACTGTTCTCTTTTGGTGAAGGCTTTTTGTAGTCTTACTTGAAAAGTGCAGAGAGGAGAGAGTGGAGGGGAGAACGTTATTCCAGAGTTTTAGGCAGTACCTTACTCCTTTTTTTGGCACAAAAGGACCTCTTGTACATTCTAGCTCTCCAGTGATCTCTTAGTCCTCTGTGAGTGACTTACACTCTATTGGAGGAGCAGATTATCAGGAGGGAGTTTATTTCATGTGGTGTTTTTGTATACATAGCTATATATTTTCTACTTAAATGCATGCTCAAGCACGCCTGGAAACCTCTCCCTTGCAGTTTGATTTTAGCAAATATTTGAAGTATACAGTTGTCCAGGTAACTACAGCACAGATTTCCTTATTACATAGTCCTCATGACTCTGACTTTTCCTGTTCTGTTCCCTGATCCCCAGTAAACCTGTTATTTTCTATAAATCTCTGTTCCTTGTTATCATATCCACAAAGTGGTGGGGAATTCCCTGGAGGTGCAGCTACTCTGAAGAGTGAGTCAAAGAGCTAAAGAGAAAGTCATGTAGCAGTGTAAGTCTATGAGTACTTATTGTTAAGGAGCAGCAATCTTAAGGCAATATAAGTTCTCGGTTGTGTGTCTATGTGGTAATTCAGGGTAGTTTAGATGAGGCTGTTCTGTAATCTCTCTTTGCATCAGTGAAGTAAAGCCTACATTATAGTAAGAAAGCATTTACTAGTCAAAAGTAAAAGTTAAGTGGCTATAATTTACTCTTCTTTTTATGTATTTTTTCCTGTAAGTAAGAAGAAAAGGCTATTTTAAATGTAATTAGAGACCTAAAATTGCTGACAAATTTTTGAGGGGTTCCTCTTTAAGACCTTTGTATTTATTTATTTATTTATATTATAAATATTTAGGTCTAACTTGAAGATTGACTCTGCTTCGATCAGAGGTTTGGACCAAATGACTTCCAGGAGAGAGGCTTTGAGTTCGGGAAGCTATGTACACATGCGTATTAGTATTTGAGACTTTTATTTATCTGGCTTTTAGTTAATGTTCTGTTTAGAAAGAAGTAAGCAAGGAGTACTAAACTTTCTTTTTCTGTCTCTAATTTAAAATTTTTGTGATTATGTATTTGAAGTAGTTTTGTTTACTTAAATGAGTTAAACTAGTTATCTCTAGGATACTAACATACACAAAACAGAAATCCTAAAATATGTAGCAGTTTTTTGTCTTCTAAAAAAGAGATGATCTCCAGTGTTGTGAGTACAGATTTAAAATATGAGCTAATGTGAGATTATGTCAGAAAGTAATCTTTTAATATTTGATACTCTGTTTTTTACAGATAAGTTATGCATGCTTACCAAAGGACAGATATGTTTTAAGTGTTTTATATGCTCTGTCTGGAAGGAAATTGTTATCAGATTATGAACAGATAATGGAAAAAACCCCAATTTATTTAATTTGAAGACATAAATACCTGCCCCATTTTTAAAGGAAGACTATAATGTAACTCAGCAAATGGCTTACATTTATTAGCACTAGGTTAATCAATACATTCTTTACATCCAAAGCTAGTTATGTTTTCATATTGCTCAACACTGCTTCTGTTGTATACTCTTGAGTCAGTGTGACAAGTCCCAGTGCCAAAATTTTCCTGTTCATGGGCAACAGTACAGAGGAGTGCATTGCAAGCATCATGCTTTGCTCTGCCTTCTTGCCATTACTTCTAACATTTATTCCCTTTTTGGCTTAGCAATGCGGATGATAATCTCTTTGCAAGCAACCATGCAGCAATTTTTTTAAAGGTTTGTATGCATTTTCAGCAGAAGATGATGGACTAAGTATCTTTCACGGTGCAGTTTCTTACCAGTATAGGTTTGAGATGGGTGGTGGTTTGGATTTTTTTTTTTATTTAAAAGAGGTTTATTTTAGCTCAAAGTACTTTATGGCATCGCTGTATAGGATGACATTTTTGAGGAGCAACAGAGAATTGGAGACTAGGGTTATTGGCAATTTTTTTTATTTACACACGTTTTTTCAAAGCAAGGGAGTAGGAACATGCCAGATTCTGTACATGTTGTTGAAGGACAGCCTGTTTGTGTCTGATACGCTAGAGCAATTGTTCAAACAGAAAGAGAGTATGAGCCCTGTAACATTAGGCAAGGTTAGTTGCCTTTTTGAGTTACCTTTCACATAAATATTAGTTATGCAAGATGAGAGCTGTCAAGGGCTGAACTAATGTATTCACTTGAGTTTTAAGAATATTGAAACATTTCTATGGGCATAAAAATTGATGGAGTGTATCTTCTATTTGCATGTATGCAAGTTGTTTTTGTTGTTTGTTTTTTGAAAACCTTTCACTTTTCTCTTAAGTGAATCTGTCCATTTTCAAATCTGCAATCAGTGCCCCTTTCACACTAGCTGGATGAAAAAAATGCAACCTTCTGTCAGTTAATTGTTAAATAAAATAAGTAATTTATACCCCATTGAATTAAAAGCAGTTTAGTCTCCTTAACAGGTCATTTATTGTATTATGTGTGTCATAGGCTCTGTCATGACTTTGATTTTTTTGATACATGGAGCATTGTGGAATATTCACAATGTCTTCGAGTTATGGGCTTTATTGTGCTTTCCATGAAAGATAATTTGTGCTTGGAAAAGCATGTACCAAGCCATCCACACTGATTAGGCAGAATCAAGTAAGTAATGTGATAACATTATTTACATTCTTTTCTTGTTCCTGTTACTTATTTGTATGTCCAATCTCTGTTTTAATAGGTTCAGAATAACTTCTGCCAGCCATAACCTTTGTCTAATTAGTGGATGGAGAATGGAAGGGCAGTGACCAAAGTTTCTGAAATTCTATAATTAAAGGGAGATGAAAAGATTGTTTATGCTTTCTCACACACAGAAGATGATTTATGTGTGATTTGTAGGATGTAATCCCTGATTTAGATATACAAGCTAATTTGTACAGGGAAGATTATTTCTTAGGCATCAAAGCTTAGTATAACGGGTGAGAGGCTGTTGCTGTATTTTGAGGTGGGTTTTTTTGTAAGAGAAAATGCTAGGTATAATACCTGGGCTTTTTATTGACATAATTGTATTTTATAGTTTTAATTTTTGCTTTAAATGCTTTTAGAAGACATTATTCCACCACCTTTAAAAATTGAACAGCCATATACTACATAGAAAAAGCAAATAAGAGAGTGGGATTACAGGGTAATTTTTTCTTTTTTTAATATGGTACCATACCATATTTTCATTTTTTTTTTAGAATTTCTTTTGGTCCTAGTTTCATTGTTTGCACTTATATAGCAGTTTTCATGTAGACCTGAAGACTTTCTCTAGAGGGATGATGGGAAACAGAAATAGTCGTGTAAGCAGATTCCTGTCAAAGTTGGGAACAAGTGTCAGGTTCATAGTTATTCCAGCTTCTTCTTTTAATAGTGTGAGGCAATGTAGAAGAGAATACTTGTGTGCCTGTTTTCCTTGTGTGGTTTCTTACTGATTTTTGAAGTGAGTATTTTTCTTTCCTATTTC